TATCATTTTCTTGGCTGAATATGAAGCCCTTGCCAGCTCCCACTGGTTTAAGGCAGAGTATATTAATCATCAATCATAAACTACAGTCCTAATTGCATTCAATTATGCACAGACTTTCTATTTCTTGGTTCAAACTTTGACCTTTTTTTTTGGGGGGGTAACTGCATACATAAGCACAATCAGTCTGCAAATAGTGTGCATTAACTTACTTAACATAAGTCTGTGCATTTTCCTAGTATTTGTGGCCATTTAATAACTCGCATTGAAAATCTGTCTCCTTTTGTCCATCGCAGAAAGAAAGATATTATAGTCTTATACTGACATAATTTTTCAGTACATATGTAGATACAAAAACCCCCCAAAACTTTGCTTATTTTTTGGTATTGGAATGTTGTTCTGACAAAATGAAACATTTAAATTAGAAAAAACAAATTGGAATGTCTGACAGACATTTTTACTGTCCAAGAATAAAAACACAGAGTTAGGAATTAACATTAATGTCTCTTTTAAAACTTTAAAATCTAAGCTCTCTTGTAATTTATTCAAGTGGTCTTCAGGAATAGTTCTCCAGGCTTCTTGAAGGACATCCAAAGCTCTTTCTTTGCATGCTGGCTGCTGTTTGTTCTGTTCTCTATCAAGATGATCCCTCACTGCTTCAGTTCTCTAGGAAGGCCAATCCATGACAAGATAATGTTCCATTGTGTGTTTTTCTATCCAGCTATTCTTTTATTGCATAAGCAGTGTGTTTGGGATCATCGTCATCCTGAAAATGAAGCTGTTTTAAAGATGATCTTGCATAGAGGATCAAAATCTGATGTTACTTTTTTACATTTGTAATTTCTTGAACTTTGACAAAATCTCCAACACCATTGGCAGAAATACAGCCCCAATCCACCACAGAGCCTCTGCAGTGCTTTACAGATAACTCTGTAGACACTTGTTGTTCTAATTCTCTTCCCAACTCCTTTGTACACACTGACGAAGATTTGAACCAAAAACACCAAATCTGACTTTTAGTCATCACTGAATAATTTCACCCATTTTCAGACCAGTTCCTGTCTAATTTGCTATACTGTCCACAGAGATCATTACAGAAGTCTTCAGTGAGCAGTAGATGGATCAACTGAGGAGCCAGATGCATTTCTAATGTCTTCTGACAGGTCTTTGCTGGATTTCCCATTTCTTAAGGACATGAAGACCTTGTTGGTCAAAAATACTATTTTGTGTAGTCAAACTGTGTTCTCTTGGGTATTTTTTGTAAATTTAAGTAATGAAAATGGAACAACTTATGTGTCTTTGTGACAGGCTGCCCATAAGCTGCATAAAAATAGAATTTAAAACTGGGTCTTTGCCAAGTTGTCTTATGTGTAGACAACACTGCTTCACCTCTTGAGTTAGGGGTGTTTTTTACATTGGAATAAATAATGTCAGTGTTAAGTGGCTTAACAAACCAACAAGCAAACAAAAATATTCTTCTGAAAACGGTCAAATATAAGAACTGGACTACAATGAGTGAAAAAGCAGGCAATGTCCAGAGAAAAACTCTGAAAAACCTTCAGAAAGACAGGAGAATTATTGCTCAAGATCACTTGAAACGCAGGCTCCTTCTAAGCAGTATAGTACATTACTATAGATTAGTATTAGTAGTAAATTATAAGTAGATTAGCATAAATTCATCCTCAGGGAGGGATTAATTTTCCATAGCAAACATGTACATGACACAAACAAGTAGGACATAACATTTTGTAAAAAGAAAACACTGAATGTATTTATTATTTATTATTATCTGCAACTATATTTTTAAATAAGAAGTGTAATTTTTATTACTTGCCTTTGAAAGTTATGGTTAGGCAAACAATAGGTGATTGGCCAAGACTTTTAATTTACAGAAACTAAAGAAAACAGGCTGCCCTTTTCACACTGTTAAAGTAATCATGAAAATAATCAATGGATGAATCAAGAGTTAGAATGATATTTATCTGGAGCTGTGAGATTAACCGGCAACTCTGGATTTGGAGAAACAAAAAAATGTAAATGTTATAAATCATTAAATAAATAAAATAAAAACGCGTTGAATTTCCTATTATTTCTGATGCTATAAGAATTCCCAGGACTACGATCTCACATCCTGAGAAACAATGTTTTTAGCTCCACATCCAGCACCGCCGTGTTCCAGACGCCGTCTACTGAGGGTGAACACAGGAAACCTCAAGTGATCGCTTCCTCTCTTTAAGAATAGACTGACATCACTTTCTACCAGCATGATCGCCAAACTGAGTGACACATTATTATGTAATGTGTGCTATGCTTAACGCCCAAGCTGGAAGTACACTGGGAGTTGTCCTACCTCCTCCTTCTACTCCTTTAAGCTTTTTTTTTCTGACAAAATAAATAAAAGCAAAAACACATAAAAGGAAAACATGCCACAGGTTTGTATCCTCTGAAAGGTCATGCTCGCTTAAAAATAAAATAATTTCTTTGACAGGAGAGGTTGAAAAAGTTAAATCCCCTGAGATTTACCTTCAGGAGGAAAGAGGAAAGTAGCTGTCCTCCTGTTATAAAGAGCTACTCTGCTTCACAGAACGTGTCAGAAGCTATTACGAGCTTCCTTTCTCCCTCATGTTTGATCTACATTTAACCACCACTACAAAGAAAGAAAAATCAGCACAGGGAGACTGGCTGCTGGTCTGCCATTGGGGAGACTTGTAATTCTTTCTGAAAGCATACAGTAACCTACATCTGGGACGTCTCTGCACACATGAGAGCCCGTCTCTACACGGGCGTCTGTTGGATCAGTTGAATCACACATCCTCACTGGGATTTATAACCACCTGAAGATGAAGTGGGATATCTTTATGCTTCATGGGAAAAAACTAATTTCACATTAATATTGCCAAATACCATCTAGTACCATTTGATTAATAAATATACGTTAAGATATGTGGTGGTGATGTGGCTTTTTCTTTGGTCCCAAATTCATTTTTTAATTTGCCATTGCTGATGACTATTCAAGGTGCCCCTGGGACAGGCCTACTTCTGGATAAATCCACGTCCAGGCCTGGACTAAAGTCTGGACAGCAAATGCAAAAGTCGCATCAGCAAGAAACCTGATAAAGTTTGTTTGGACTAAACTACCATAGATACAAAACCAACTCAATGACAAGCTGTATTATTTCCTCTTTTAAGCCAACCTTCTTCTAATTGGCTGTCCCTTTCAAACAGACAGACTGTGGGTGGAGCTTCTGTTCTCAAAGCTAGCACTTTGCGCCTGAGATGACGAAATTAGGCATATCTGCTCCTGCTGGCATCAAAGAGAGACAAAACTACCTGAAACCGAGCATGCAGAGCAGTGTGAAGCCTGAGCTTTTCGCTGACAGTGGTTTCTTGTATATACAACACTGACATTATTTCATTACTTCACCTTTTCCATTTTTGAGCATTTGTAATATGCACATCCACTCACATAACAGTGGCAAAAAAAGGATATTCATAATGGGTCCCCTTTAAGAGACTACTCACTGACATAAGAGGTCAGTAATTCAGGGAGCTGTAAAGAAAGGGACTTGTGTTGCAAATATTTTGCACCAGACCATGTTTAAATTGCTCATCATCAGCAGATAGATAAGAGAGGACTTTGACATAGAGCAGAGCATTAATCAAAATCCAGTCTAAATGTTATTATAACCCCTTTTTAAATTTAGTTTTCAACTATTTGGTAACCTGAATTTCTAGCACCCACCAGAGAGGTTCAAGCCAGCACCAAAGGGAAACCCCTTGTATTATTAAAATCTATTAGAAAGTGCAAGGAATTTATTTTATAAGGCATAATATCATTTTTTAAATGAAATTGCCAGGATAAAAGATACGGATCACTCAAAAAGGATCCTAGTCTTTATTGTAGATGTGCACTTGTGCAGAGCAGGTAGACGACCATTTGATTAGCTTATAAAATCATAAGTAGCACTGTTCAACCTGAGAAGCATAACTTACCTAATCAAAACGTTTAAAAAAAAAAAAAGTTATCCTAGCTGAACTGCACATTTTTTTAATGTATTCCGAGTTGATTTTGAAATTCTTGACTATCCAAGACCTGGACAGAAGCAAAGAGACCAAATACAAAAGGTGTAGCACCAGGAAAGCTCACCAAACCAACCCTTGAGAGCGCATAGATGACCACTTGCTTGGATTATGCAACCATAAGTGGCACTGTGGCTGTGCCTGCAGGCCAAACACACCCTCGCTGGATGAAGATCACTCTCAGGTAGACTGGGAAAACACATGGAAAGCTACTCTGTGTCATTAAAAGAAGGTGGGTTAAACTGGTGCAGCTACACGACAGCAGCGGTGAAGTGTTTGTCTATTTGTTTGTTAACTTGGGTAGTTGTATTAGCTGGCCAGCTAGCTGAATTAAACCAAATTCACAAAGGCCACGAGTTAAGTTTCCAAAACAATTCTGACCCATTCGTCTTAGCAGTGTGGCAAAAACTGAGATTTTAGGCGTCAAATAATAGCACTTAACAGCAGCTGGCTGTACTGGAGAAAGCCCTAAAGATTGAGCGGGCAGTCGTGCGCCGAGTGACGGGAGAGACTTGCTGCTCTGGCGGACACTCACGCCGTCACTGAGTCGGTGGGTTCCGTTGCTAACGGACAGTCATAACGGTTAATAGAAACCATAAAAAGCCTTCCTCCTCACATTAAGTCACCCACACCAAAGTATTTTCCTCCTGTCGCACTGCTATCAACCTCACTGGCTGTCTATCCGCAGCTCGCAATGTAAAGGAGAGCGCGTTGTGTAATAGACGTAAGATATAGTGTTACCGTAACGACACCTTCTCCATATTCCTCACCGTTTATCCACCAAATAAGCCAAAAAAGATAGCACCGCAGCCGTCCACGCTCACTTGGGCTGCATCGATAGTTGGCGTTGCAATGGCGGTTTTGTAAACGTTGGAGCAACAGCAGACCCGTGAAATGTCACGAAAACAAATCCAGTTACTCACCGGAGGAATCCTCATCTTTACGTAAAGTCCCGCGGAGCCCCTCCGTTAGCATCCGCCATACCTGATCGTCTTTCAGAGCTATTTTTGAGTATCCGTCTCGCGTAGACCCACCACCGCCTGCCTGCCTGATTCAAACAGTCGGAAAGTAAAGCTTCTAGTCTAGCGTAGTTGTGCGACAGCAGCACTCAAGGATCCCTCCCCCAAGGTTTAATACTGGGGAAAAGAAGGAGCAGCGATAAGTCAGCCAAAATGGATATCCTAAACTACCGGTTTTCAAAATAAAACGCAAAGCATCTCCCTTAGAGATTACATTATAACACCAAGAGAAAAACTGTGAATGCAGATCTAATTAATTTGGACATCATCATTACATTTCTTTAGTTATTTTTTTTGTTTCAAACTGCTTTATAAAATAAACACACCAACCAAAATTATAATTACTATGTTTACCTTTAAGAAAAACAAACAATTCGGTCACAGATAATATATCGATTAAAACAACCCATCTTTTTGATGCTGTAACAGCAAAGTGTGTACGTTTTACGTGTAAGTTGTTATTGTATTATTTTATAACTAGATAAACAACTTTCAGGAAAGTTCTTTTTTCTTTTTTTTATTCCTAAAACATGTTTGGAGGGGTCTTTCAGTAAAAGCCAGTCCATGTTAGTAGTAAATAATAAAAAGAAGAATATATTCAACAGATAATGAAAAAAGAACAACTAGCAAATTTACAGGAAAAGAAATACTAAACATCCACATTTTTAAATATGATTCAATTCAGTTTTATTTCTACACCACAGTTACCTCATGGTGTTGTAAGGGAAAGACCCTAAAATATTAGGGTGAGATTTGACTATTTGATTGTTTATAAAACAGGAAGAAAATAGTTTTCAAATAAGGAAGATTTAAAAGTAATATAGTCAAAGGTCTGGCTGTGTTCAAATCTATTTGACAGTCTATAATATTAGGCTAAACCCACACATATTTGTAAAGGAGGAACAGACTATTTTTTTATTTAGAAATTACTTAAGAAATTAAAGGTTCTTAAAAGGACAGCACTTTATAGCCTTTTATCACGTATATGTAACATATGATTTAATACCATTCCCACTTATTATTAAAGTTTAATTTCTGAGCTCTTACTTTCCCGCAAACAATCACGCAGTTTCCGGTGTTGAACCAACCCTTAGTGTCAAACTTGACAAACCTCCAACCGTTCAGTTCCGTCCAGCCTGCACTGTGGTCCAGCCGCCACCGCTGCAGCAGCAGCAGGGACATTTTGGCTCAAACGGAGCGGAGGGTGAGGTGCTGAGCCCCGGGGAGGGTCCTCGGCTCCGTCCCGCTCACGACACCCTAGAGCCAAAATGGCCCATTCATCCCCACTCTCTATAACCTTGCCAGCCCTCGCAGAGGATGACAGGCATGGAGAAATTGATCAGCACGATGCAGCACCGTCAGAGGTGATCAATGAAATGGGATGCGATGTGTAAAACCACCCAAACTCTTTTAACCCCTCCGTACTCGGTGACCCCGCTGCAGTTTTAATAACGCAGTGTTAAAAGCAATATAAACAGTTCCTGTAATTACTGATCGAGAAAGTGAAAAACAGTGACTATAGTAATGGATGCAAACCTACCAAAAGAGAATGTAAAGTGCTCAAGCAGATATAAAAGACTAATAAAAGTCTTAATAACTTTATTATTGGTTTGTAATGTAGTAATAATAATAATAGGAGAAATAATAAAACTAAATAAAACTGAAGGATAAAACTGAAATTAGATGAGACAGAGTACAATTGCTCACTTCCTCTTCCATTTTTAGATAGTCAACCTGTTTTTGATGATGCAGAAGAGTAGTTTTATTAACTTTTCCCCTCTTTATTATTCTACTTGTCAAACATTATCAACATGAGTTTAATTTCTTATATTTAGACAGCTGAAATGCTGTTTACGTTATCCAAAGTAGTAATGCTAGTAAATGTTGTGTATTTTGTTACATTGTACTGTAATACCATCATATCTCACAGTACAATAATATTGAATGGGTTGCATTGTTGTACTTTGTTATGTTTCTCAGGTCTTTGTTTGAATTTCTTATGAACATTACTTGTCATGTTCTCATGTTGTTGCTAAGGATTGTCTTATTGCACTGGAGTCACACTGGGTTAAATATTTACACTTGGGTTTTAAGGGGTATTTCGTATTTTCTTTATTATTTTATTTACGGGTTGTACGGAAGCCCCAAACACAATTTCATTGTTCTCTGACAATGACAATAAATACTTAAATAAATAAATACTAACATTAAAAGATTATAGACTTCACTGCAGCATTTTACTATAAATCTAAGAAATTTGGTTATTATTATAATATTTTTTCAACCTCCTTTATATGATATGGAAATGCTGTTTAAAGTTCCAACAACCTACTCATAATGAGACCAAATATGCTTACATTTAAGAAAAGAAGTAATTCAATTACAAACAATACAGAAATTAAACCAAGCAAGAAATAAATGTGTAAAATTACTGAAACAAGTTCTGGTAGCTCAGTGCCAATGCTGTTATGTAATTACAACATTTAAGGTTTTTATTAACTCCAGTTAACAAAAAATGACAGAAAATATCCTGTTGTAGGACTGTGCACTAGTAACTGCTAAATTTTCTATAGTACATAGTGGGGGGGAGGAACGTTTCTATTTGTCTATCACTTACTTTCACAACCACTATCACTTACTTTGGTGCAGTATGAATGGGGAGATTTGTTTCATTAGGAAAAGCTGTAAAATGTATAAAAATACAGTTAAAAGTACAAAATTGATGCCTTCCTTCATATTTTCATCTTCAAGTTGTCCAGTTGGTCTTCTGGGCCAATTCTGTTACCTGGGCCTTAGGTTTGACACCTAACAGGGAAAGGCTACACTGACTGCTAGGTGGTTGCCAGGCAATGTGATGGTGCCATAATATATCATGTTTAATTCAACCTTTGTAAATATAAAGTAAAATTATACAGTTCTTTCATAAGGTTGATGTAGGCACATGAATACTAAAATGGTCATTTTCACCCATTGCTAGGTGGTAGCAAGGTAACATGATGATGTCATAATATCCCATATAGATAAGAACCTGTGTGTCAGGTTTTGCTGCTCAAGTCTTGATGTTATAGGATGAGTTTTTAAACAAGCGCAAGCAGATTTGGTGTATCGTAGTGGGATAGACTTGGCAACAGTGACAAGTGCTTCCAAGTAAGCCAGCAGACTGAGAGCAAAGTGCTGTGCAAGTGGTGGACCACATGTAGTGTTACTGCAAAGTGTTTAGGATCCACAGCTGCTGAGCCACAAAGAGGCAGACCACACAAAATTATCATCAGCACAGAAACTGTACTCCGGGAGCTTCATGGCTGAGCAGCTCCTGTAGGTGTAATCTGTAAGGGCTCAGCAGTTTTGGCCATGTAATGTAGCATAATAGGAAAAATGTCTCATTAACATTTACATTTCTGAGTCACTTTCCAATTGTTGTTTTAGTAACTATTAGATTGCTATGGCTATGACTTAAGGGTTAGTACTCTTATTTCCTTTACTACTCTCTGTTAAAGAGGGAACTAAAAGCATCTTTCCCAGCATTTCGAGAATTAAAACAGCTCCAGTTATAGCTGCCCAACATGTTCTTCGGCTGCAGAGGAAGCCAGAAGAGCCTGCCTGCACTCCTTGTACTGGAGTGAAAACGAGTACTCAACCCAACCCAAAACTTTTCCAAAAATAAACATGTTAGGGAAAGTTGGTGGATCAAACCACTGTGAGACTACGAGGTTGATCCATTTCTTTTCTTCAAAACTTAAGCGTTTTTTTTCTTCCTATAGAAGCTTAAACACTATATTAAATAATTATATAGAATTACAGTAATGTGTTGAAGACAACATTGTTTTTCCTAGAAAGGATTCTGGATGCCCCCCTTCCTTATCCCTGTTTCCACGAGAGCTCATGGACACACTGTAACCAAAGAGCATCTGATTCAGTGTCCCGACAAAGAAAATTTTACTTTGACTGAAGGAGTTTGTCCCAATAATTTATTACACTTTGACATTAGGACTTCTGGAGTACATGAGAGCTCAGTTACTAATGAAAACAAGTATTTCACACATTAAGGCCTCACCAGACCACTTTACAGCTGCTCATCGAGGCGGATAGGTAGCAAAATATGGTTGACAAATCTGAACAGTAAAGTAAATGAAGAGAAACTCTAATAGCCCAAAAATGTTTTATTAAATTCATAATCACCACTATAACGTTAAGTGAATCACTCATTCACATTAACTGCAATTTAATAATCTCTTAAATACTAGCCACATTTAACCATATAAGAAGTTTATTTCTAAACTATTGCGAGTCCTTTGGGTGCTGAGAGTTACAGATACTGTGTCCACAATATCACCGACTAGTGAAATCAGAACTTAGGTGTGTGTGTGTGTGTCGTAGTGCTGCTGCGGCTGCAGGCTAACCCGAAATGGTTCACGTCTCTGGAGATGATGCGCCGCACCTTTAACAACCGTTCCCCCACAAAGGGAGGTGCCCCTTGTGAGGCTGTGAGAGGTTAAAAAAATTAAAATTAAAAAACTGAAAACGGTTGACCAAGGGGGCAAAAAAAATAAAAATAAAAGGAAAATCAGTTTGCTTCATTCTTTGAGGCTTCGTCAAAGTTCTCCACGAGATCTGCAAGACAGAAAACAACAAAGATCACCTGATTTTGTTCTGAAAGCAGAGCAGTGTTCGGTTAAAGAGATTCAAGAGACAACTGCTGAAAGTGACAGTGATTTACTCCTCAAGGGAACCCCCCCCCCATTATTCCTGATACCCTGAACCTTTAAACTATCTGATTAAACACACAAAATAACTGATGAACTACTATATGTGCCCCAAGCAAGATCAAAACCAGATATAAAAAACTAAAGTGAGATTTTACAGAGGAAGAAGCTTTGTTTACTTCAAGGATAATAATTTGTATCAATACCTGGGACATCGTCATCATCCTCTTCTGCGTTTTCCTCCTTGACTGCTTTCATTTCCATTGCTAAAAAAAAAAAGAAAACACAAAAATGTATCAAATGTTAAGGGTCACATTACAACTTCCACAATGCTAACATCCACTGATCCCTTGGTACAAAGCGGTGCTCTGCTGGGAAATTATTGCAGACTAAATATAACCCACCATTAAAACCAAACAACAACCTCCAGGGCTGTAAAATTAAGCTAGAAGTATCATGATTAACCCTAATGTTATAGACTCTGATGTTAAAATGACTAATTTTCCAAAGAAGAAGAAGAAATAAATGATCGCTTCATCACAACTAGATAGTGACTCACTTTTGTTATTGCTTAGTTAGAGGTGTGGTAGTACTGACTGATGTGTATCACCACCCCCACCAAATGGAATTGTGGTGCTTTTTGGAACACCTTAGTACAGTTATGAGAAATATTATGTTTGTTTGCTACAGGTCATCCAGGAACTTTGTGTTTCAGTTTTATTTTACTATCATATTTCTCATATTTAGTCTGTTACACACCTAAGTGACAGCTATCACGCTGTACTCAAGCTAACTAATGCTGATGTTTAAAAGTCAGAGTCCAAAAAGAAATGTGTCAAATTACATCAGCCATCTTTTATTTACAGTCTACGAGAGAGGCACAGAACCTGCCACGCAACTTGCAGGATGAGCTGCAAACATAATATCAGAGTAGCTGTGCTAAAAGACCACAAAACATTATCATAAGCTGCAGAACGGCCCCTAAGAAGACGTCACGGTGACATTTTCCTTTATTTCTGCTCCTGTGTTGGACTCTGCACAGATTCACAGCACAGGGTTAGCTGTGCTGTGCTTCCAAGTGAAAAAGATGGTCCTGTCTCCCATGTTTGCTTCACTGGGTTTATTTTCATCTCCATGTGTATCATCTACAAGGCCAGCCCCTGCAGACTGAATCATCTAGATGCTCAGACCGTGTGCGGGAAGCGTTCCTGCCCTTACCAACTACCAATCACTCCCTGAGTGCTCCGATTCTTTCAGACTCACAGTCACGTTACGTCTAATCCTCAGTAACTCTAAACAAAACACTGCTGGATTAATGCACAATAATGTAAGAGCAAGTGTCTTAAGCAAGTTCAGCCTTGACCAGCTGCAAACGCCCAAGTCATTTAAGCTCTGCGTTTGCCAACAGGGAGACCTGAACAATAGTCTCTCCTCTCACCACAATAATTCTTGTGTGACCAAAAAAAAAAAAAAACCCTCTGTCTGACGTGACCGTGACCATTATTCGCATGACAACCTCAGAGGGCACTCTGACATTGTGACACGGAACGTGTGTTTTTGTGTGTGCATGCTCACATTGCCGTGGGAACTGCTCAGCCAGCTTGCGCAGGCTGCTGAGGCTGTCGGCTCCCAGCTGGCTCAGGATGCCGGGCAGCATCTCTGTCAGCTGTTTGGTCTCTCCGTGGCCCGTGATGGCGAAGGTGTTGGCAGACAGAGACGCCTGAACTTTGGGGTTGTTGAAGTGAATCACCGTCCCGTCATCTTTTATCATATTCACCTGAGAGAAAGAGGGAAACCGCACAGTCTGGATTAGAGCCTTTATCCTACAAGATTTTGCACTGTCAGGCTTACTAAGACCAGCCCAGGTATATTAGACACTCTGGTGGGCAGAGGATTCCAAAAACAGAAATACGTCTTAATGCTCTGTGGAAATAAAGTACTACAAATACAGAAGTACAGTAGGAGACATTTCAGTTTTCAAGAATCTGTGACAAATGCATTAATGTCCTTTGAGTAGTTTTTGTTGGGCCTGTCCCAGAAACACCCACTGTACAGATTATGCTATGTGAGTGTATCAGGTTCCAAATGAGCAAGTGTGTGATGTGATTCAACCAAAATAAAGACGTATGAGACTGCTGGATTTAAGACTGGTCTATGAATCATGTTTTTCCTGAGGCACTAAACACCACAGTTTGCACATTTAAAACAGCCACATATAAGGTAAACAGATTTAAGCTAGGGGCTGGGTTGAGCATAATCAAACTCATCAATGGAAAACAAAATATATTATATTATTTGATGCTTGATGCCAAAGTAACGAAAAAATATATACATCTAGCCCAAAATCACCACGCTGTACAGGCCCTGCAAAAAAACCCCAACAAAACTAACTGCTGTAATTATCTTAATATAAACAGTATGCTGTAAAGACAAAATATATATTCAGTCAAAAAAAGAAAACAAAACAAATGTGCATCAGGTAAAGGTCCCTTTTTTGTTTATGCTCTGGTGTAACACGGACACTTTATGGTATGCCCATTTGCTGAAAGCTCCCTAAAAATAAACTGGAAGATGACATGACTGCATTTCACTTAGGCGCCCCCCCCCCATCTTTCATCCTTTCGTATGCCGCATGACATAATGATAAAAAATTCAGGATCCTCAGAAAGAAACAAATCAAAATAGAACAGACACAGAGAGTAACAGTAGCATTAGTTTCCCTTTGATGGCTCACCTCTTCTATCCCTGCGATGTTGTTCACTGCCAGTTTCTTCAGAGAGCCCTGCAGCTTTTTGTCGTCAGCTGTTGCCGTTTTGTGAACAACCTTTTTCTTCCTGCGGGCCGTTCCCTGAAGGGGAAAAAATGGATTTCATAACCGAGTGAACCAGAATGTCAAACATAGTTAAGGTCACACGCGTCATCCTGTCACGGACATAAAATTACCCTCACAGAAAAAGACCTGTTTTTATTATTATTATAAATGAGTGGCTTATTCTTTCCAGCTCAGAGTGCATTCTTCAAGATAATTACATTAATCTATAAATACTGTGGCTCAGGAGGAAGAGCAGTAGTCAGGTAATTTTCAAGGTCGGTGTCTTTGGTAAAGATTTTGAACCCCAAATTTCCCCAGAAGCAGCTGCATTTACACAACCCACAATAATTGTGATTGGCTCATTCATTACAATCATTTTAAATAGAAAAAAACAAAACAAAACAGATTAACTAATAGAAAATGGAGAGCCTCTGCTGGCCACTAGTACTTAGTGTCAAAATTGCAGAGCAGCGTCGGTACATCCACAAACAGCTAAAATACAGTGCTCCATTTGAAATGGAAAGTTGGAAATCTTGGAATTTTCAGCTGGAAGTGAGGCTTCCCACATGCACCAACATTGTGAGTGTAAACAGTAGGAAAACTGAAGAACCTGCCATGTGTACAACCACTGTTGTGTATTTGTCACTGGTTAGACAAGCAAACACAGAACCAAACCTTTTCATTAACATGTTGCGGCGACATGCTGTGGCGTCATGCTGCAGCAGTGGTGGCAATGACAAAAAGGACAGAAGGAAGGGCTGAAAATGCTAAGATTCTCACTGGTAGTGATCAGGATGGACAGGATTAGAAATGCGTACATCAGAAGGACAGCTCAAGTTAGAGAGGCAAGGCTGAGATGGCTTGGATATGTGCTGAACAGGGGTAGTGTATATATTGGACAATGGACGTTGAAGATTGCACTGCCAGGCTGCAGGAAGAGAGCAAAACCACAGGGAAGATTTCATGAAAGCAGTGAAGGAAGACATGCAGGGGGTTGGTATGACAGAGAAGATGCTAGGGATAGGGTGAGATGGAGGCAGGTGATCTACTATGGTGATCACTAAAGGGAGCGGCTGAAAGTATGGAACATACTTCACTTTAAATTTAAACATCTGTCCAGTTAGGAAGACCTGAGCGGTAGGGCTGTGCGATAAATCTCATATCCCGATGTA